AAAAACAGAAACGTGTTTTCTCACAGTTTAGGGGGCTAGAACTGTAAGTTCAGGGTGCTGGCTCTAGAGGAAGGCTTTCTGTTGGCTTGGAGGTAAGTTCCTGTGTCTTTGAGCTTCTGCTCCTGGGTGATCTTCATGTGGCTTGGCACCTCTCTTCCGTAGTCTCTATTTCCTTGCTTGCTTGTTTAATCTTTTTTGTATCTCAAAAGAGATTGACTCACGATACACCCTATACTAATCCTGTCCCATTAACCTAACAAAGACAACCAATTCCAAATGGGATTGTAAGCACAGGCATAGAGACTAGAATTTACAACACATATTTCTAGGGGACACCATTCGATCCATAACAATACTTTTGGCTGGCTTTAAGATAGAATATTGGGCTTCTCTACCTATGAATTCGACTTGGATGTAATTCTGAATATTCCTATGAACTAAGTTTTGTTTTTACTCATATATATCCTTCTTTGTCCTGAATTTCTCAGGATATTTCTTCTAAAAACTTTATTTGGAGATCTTTACTAATGTAAGGCATTACATGGTACATATTAGAAGAGTAGAAACCATCTGCACAGAGAAAAGCACAAATTTCTCAAGGACAGATTAGGCAGTGAAGAATTCAAAATTATGTAAGAAGTGAGCTATAACTTTGACTGGAAAGATCCAGGTTCTAAACCATGTTCTATCAGATGCTAACATTCAAAATTTAGAACCAAAAATTACGTGACCTCAGTGATCAGTACCTAGAGTCTGAAGCCACATTGCCCAGATTCTAACCTCACCCCACTGTTCATCAGAGGTGTGACATTTAACAAGTTCCTTGATATCTCTGTGCTTTGTTTTCTTCACTGTGAAACAGAAATAATAAGATAATATATCCTTTCAGGTTGCTATGAAGATTACATAATTTAATATATAATTAAATTATTAGATGCAAGTATCCACTACCCATAATAAGAGTGGTTATTTTCATTATGATGATCACTACTGGATTTCCAAGAGATACTGTCAATTTTTCAATAATATCAATTCAAAATTTTTATCTACCTATAATAAAACTATACCATTGTATTAAAATATTAAGCTCCTTTACTGAGTGGCTGAAATCATACCAGCACTGAGGATGGCAATAGTTTTCTTATAATGATCAGAAGCTAGGATTGAGAGTTCTAAATATCTTTAATAAATAAAAAAGAGAAATATGAATCAAAAGTATGTAACAGCATCAATACAAGGGACCCATGACAAGAGGAAAGTAGAAATAAAATAGGTTTTAGGTTGTAAATGTTTGGCATAAAAAGCAAAGGAATGAGGGCATTTAGATGAGAAAAAATGAAATCAAAGTTTTAATGGAGATGATAAGGCCCATGGTATATTAGCAAAATAGACAAATAGGAAACGTCTAGGTTAGCCAGACTCAAAATTTGAGGTAGAAAAGTGGGAAAAGTAAGTTCCCTCATAGCTGAAGGCCATAAAAGCCAACTTATAAAGTTTGATATTTTCTTTTGGTGAAATAGAATATTTGGAGGCATAAAAAAATAAGAGTAGCATCTATTAAGATATATTAGGCACCTAATAACAAAAAGTATTCCAAGTTGTTTAATGGAATTTAGTCATCGTTTTTTTTACTGAATTTAGTCCAATAAGACTTTGAGCTTCTCTGTAATAAAGTGCATACTTTTTCAAGATCCCAGTGTCCTACTGAAGACATCAGTCTTTCTGTTTCCTATACTTAGAAACTTGGTAGAAAGACTTCAAGTGGATCCACTGTAAACTGCCAAACGGAACCCGTTGTCATTGAGTCAATTCCAATCCATGACGACCTCATGTGTTACGGAGTAGAACTGCTCCAGAGGGTTTTCTTTGCTGTAATCTTCACAGAAGCAGTTCACCAGGCCTTTCTTCCATGGTACCACTGGGTAGGTTTATATTGCCAACCTTTAGGTTAGCAGACAAGCACAAACCATGTGCACCACCTGGGGACCTGGATTCACTGTAACCAAAACGAAATAAAGACTGGCTCTGCCGTCATCCCCAAAATGACTCATCAGTGACTTCAGAATTGTCACTTCCTTTCTTAAAGAAGGATCAAAAGTGCTCACTCTCAACTCATCTCTGTGGGAGGCAAAAAAATGTAGGGAGCCCAGAGAGGTGGATTATAATCTTGTCTATGCAACTAAGATGTCATTTGACCTTGATCAAGTTAGTTCATATCTAACCCCGAATATCATTATTTCCACTGAGGGGGCTCAAGAAAATAATTTTCCTTTCACCTTTAACATAAGAATCTTTGCACACAGTATCATAGTTATTAAATTTGGAATAAAAATCTCACACAATTTGATGAAATAAATCAATATGTACTGCTATATTTGCATGGGTTTTCATTGTGAGACGGTTAGCTTGCGCATAACAAAAATGCAGACTGGGATTTAATAAATGGATAGTTCTACAATTCTTTAAGTGGACCCTCACAGGCTTTTGTTGAGACATCTGTTCAATGTCTCTAAACAGGGAAGAAGGACGTAAATTCAGAGATTGCTTCTTCTCCTCATTCTTTCTCTCCTCTCTCTCTTTTTACACATTTCCCATCTCTTGAAAAGACAAAGTAAGCGGGTATTTGAAAAATCTGATGAGTCATAAATATAACAAAATGGTTACTACGATTTTGTAATCTAATGGCTGGCATGCTTATCAGGGTTTTCAAGCCCTCCAGTTCTGTGCCAGAACCTTGCTTTTCACATTTCCTCCTGAGACTTCTGCGAATGTATGATAGAATCAAGCTTGACTCTTGATGTTCCTCATTAATACACCCAAACCATCTCATTCCCTGATTTTTTCACATCTGACAGCAGCTGAATGCCTTCTCCTCTGCTACAAACTAAACTTTCCATTTCCACCTGTGGAGAGAGTACTCAGTTAAAATGTGGAGAGAGTACTCAGTTAAAATGTCTTCTCCTCTGAGAAGCCTATCTGAATTTCCCCAAATCACTCTCTTGCTAGTGATCTTTCACCATTCAAAAATAAATATTTATTTGTTGAATCACGTAATCCCTGATTATATTCTTCTCTCATTTTTACTTTAACATCTTTTGTTTATTGATTTTATATCTCATGAGTTAAGTAAAGCAAGTTGGCTTTGTTCTGTTTTGTGTACTTTGGGTTAAGCTGGGAGGCAGAGTTCAGCAGAGAGGATTTATAGTGGATCCAGGACCAAAACTAAAGTCTTTGGTCTCCATGGCATTCTCTCTCTAACACTTCACCCCACACTGCCATGCAAAACATCACACTCCAGTCATTCAGGTAGAGCCAACACAAAGCCCAGAAACCATAAACAGGTAAAGGAGAAAGTCACAGGCATGTTCATGGATAGAAACTCCAGGGGGGCTGAAACAAAGAGATCAGCATTTTATTTTTACGTTTGAAAAAGAATAGTGAGGAGAGGGTAAAGGGGTTAGGGATAATAGAAAGAGTCGGATGAAAAGGGAAAAAAGAAATCATTATGGATAAGAGAAAGAGAAGGAGGAAGGATCCGGGTGGGGAGGAGACAGGGAAAAAGCCATAGAGCAAGCAAGGGTGAGCAAAGAACCATGTTAGGGGTTAAAGAGTTTATCCCAGGGTTTTCCTCAAGAGTTTTCTTTTCCCTCCTCCATGCCCCATGTTATCTTTTTCTCTAACTGCAGAAGTATGGTGTGGTTTTGGGCTATAAGCAGAGGTAACAGTGGGTCCTGGACACCCAACATTTGTATTCACTTATGCATCCCCATGCTTTTCCTGAACTTAAACCCTGAAAGCAAAGAGTCTTGGGGTAGAATACTGTGTCAAGGTGGTCTTGGTGCCAAAGAATAGTTTGCTTCACCCCCTTTTTTTGATCAGAATTGACCTCAGAGGCAGGGATGCACCGAGCAGAGGCCAGTGAAAGCTGAGAGTCTCTGAAATATCAGAATCTTCCCATCACTGTGAGAAATATGTTCCTGAAACTTCAGGTTTCTCAGTAGACATAGCTAGATGATGGCAACTGTCCTAAAAAACGGGACAGTATTGGAAAATTATAAAAAAGTTGCCCTGAAATGGGGAGCAAGGGAAAGGAACTATTTTAGCAGGGCTTGAAAACTTACCTTTTTTCTTGTATGCAAAGAGATGACATTCAATGGACAGCTCATAGTCTTCTCTTTTTCAATTCTGATTTACTCTGAAGATTGATCATGTGCAGTGCATTGCGGCATGCAAATTGTACTCAAGAAAGGTCCACTCTGGCTTTCTGTTGCAGGAGCTATCGGCAGAGAAGATGACCCACAAATAACCAACACTTTCCAGATGGCCTGAACTAGAATCTGCAAAAGGGTCTGTAATGTTGGCAAGAGAAAAATTTTTTTTTTAAGTTTCTTATTTCTGCTCTTAAAATTTTCTAGAACAAAAAATATACCCAGTATTCTGTGGTAGAAATTCTACTACCCCCAAAACATTCACCTGACAAAACACATGAATTATGCGTGCCTTCTTCTTCCTTCAGATATTTATAGGGATTTCATAAAAGTTCACAAATGGCCAGAACTGCATATCAGCCTCCAGAGGCCAAAGGCAACACTCCTCTCCACGCAACCCTAAAGAATTTGTTCAGTGAGCTTCTTAACACAGTTAGTCCAGGACCACAGCAAACCATAAGGCCACTTAATCCCAGACAAGGTTGTCAGCAGCCAGATTTTTGTCCTCTGAGTCCTCCTCTCCTACTCATTTGTCCGAAGTAAGGGACACGTCCTATTTCAGTTACCAAGTGCTCATGTGGCCACATCTCTGCCTCCACTCCACCCACCCTGCCATAA